CTTCGCAAAACGACGCCGCTTGGCCGGCAGCGCGAGCACTGCGTCTGAGTCGGCGTCGTGCGTGCGCATGCGCGCGGCTGCCGAGTAGACCTAGCGCAATGCCAAAAGAGCTCTGCTGCTGCTGAGCTGCGTGTGTGATTGGGCATTTCGTGAACACACCTGGAGCCGCACTTGCGCCTTCGGTCTCCCCTTGAGCACACACTTTTGACGCTTGATGCCGGGTCCACCGAGCCGCGGCTTGTCGAGGCAATAGACGCACTCGTCGCAATCAGAGCTCGCGGACGGCCGACTACCCGCACTGACGCCGGTGCGAGCCACGGTGAGGACGAGCCTCACGCGTACGACACTCGCGCTCGCAGGCACGTCGATCGCCATGGCTGAGGGCGATGGCCAGGACAAGCGCCCAGGAGAGGGCCAAGAGCGCGCAGGAGCTACCCGGGTGGCGCGTGAATTCTTTTTTTTGAGAGCGCCTTCGTTGTGTGCACGCGCCCCTCTACTCGCGCGTCGCCTGCCCCTCGCCTCGCCCGGACACGTCCTCTCGATCGATGGATGGAGTCGACTAGATTGGCACCGGCCCCGCGTGCTTGCCCCCACACCCCCACTCTTGTTGCATGCAGAATGCAGGATGCAAAAAAGAGTTTGTCCGTTGGGTGCAGCTCACAGCTTTGAGCCCGATTTTGCATCCTGCATCCGCATCCTGCATCCTGCATCGGGTGCAAGGCATCTGGCTTTGGGCCCGATTCTGCATTCTGCATTCTGCATCTGCATCCTGCATGGGGTGCAGTTCATAGCTTTGGGCCCGATTCTGCATTCTGCATTCTGCATCTGCATCCTGCATCGGGCGCAGTTCACAGCTTTGTTTGGGAGCGGCCGCACACTGCTCGCTGCCCCCCCTGCACATCTAAAGCCATCCCTGCTGCTAGGGGGGGGGGGGGGCTTGACCCCCCAACAAAACGCTGCTGCTGGGGGGGGGGGTCCCCACCCCCCCACAGCAAAAAAACGATTCTGCTGGGGGGGGGGGGACCCCCCCCCACAGAACAAGGGAGGGATCCAGGTTGTCCGACTCTTCCCCGCCCCCCCAACAA